GCAGGCGAAACTTTGCACGGCAGCAACCATGTGTGCGGGAGCGAGAGTGTGCGTCCCCCAAGGGTGGAAAATGCTCCGCAGCGCGCAATCTCCGAGCTCCTCTCGCGGCAGCCTCAGCCTCCTGCTCCCTCTCGGTAATATTAAGAGACTACTTTCCAAACACCCACTAAAATACAAACGATTTATTGAAAATTCAAACGGTAAATCTCTCTCCCTATTTTCTCGCGTGCTTTCTCCCTCAACGTGCAAAATTTGGAAATTGAAAGAGTCACCGGTTACACCCTCTGGACCCTATTCCAGCTCTCCAACTGAGACTTAGGGATTTTTTGGTAATTATTTAATTACGCAAGCATCGCTTACACTCCTCCTCCTACAAACACATTCCTTTCCCACCAAATCCCCCTCCCCTGCCCTCCCTCTTTATTAATCATCATCATTAATACTGTAGAAGGAACTAGCACGTTTTACAAACATGCCTCATTTTCTCTCTCTTCTAGGAGGGAGAAAGTTGGGGGGGAGGGGAGGTAGTCCTACAGTCTGAATAGTTCCCCCCATTTTGGGGAGGGGTGGTGTTTCGGGGTATTGTTTTGTCAGTGGCGTATACATGACACAGTAGCAGCACTCTCAAATCCACTTCCCCTCGCTCCTCCTGGGAAGCACCCAGTGGAAAAATTCCCTCGCAGGGCTATAAACGAGCCGTGGCTACCCCTCGCAGCAGCTACGTCTATACCTCCACTCCGGCCTTTGCCAGCCCAGCCGGCCCGGGAGGCACTGCGTGCAGCCCAGGGGAGAGCTAGAAGTAGGAAGTTTAGCCAAATCACCGCTAATTAACCCCGTAAAGAGGGACGAAGAGAGAGAGGAAGGAGGTCTTTTTTGCCTTCCCAGTCAGTAAATACTGCAATCGTCTCCCTGTTTCCGTGTGAGAGGTATAATTTTTGCATTGTGCAGCTATGACCTAGCGGGGGTGGAAATTGTCTTTCGCTCCTGTTTCCACATCGCGACAGTCACAATCTGCAGCACCGCGGAAGGCATAGGGGAAAAAGGACAAGAAGTCACTGTTTTTTGCCGCTCTCTCGGGAGCCCCCTTTAACAGGTGGCCCTCATTTACCACTACCTCCGCCCACCTGTCACAGACTGACCATACGCGCGAAGTACCCAGATAGCCTGCGAGGTGAGCCCCGTCCCAGGGGACTTTGGCAGTGCGGGGCGGGGAAGGGAAGAGGAGGTGTCAGCCTTGCTCTCCTGCTGGGGAGGACGTGATGGTGGGAGGAGCATGACTAAACTCCTTGCATTAAACAATCTGAAGGAGAGGAGCCAGGCGGGACCAGGAATCTGGTTTCAATTTTCCAGAGCAGCTTTTACTAGGGAAGCTGAAGCCTGGGGACTTGTTTCTTGCTACAGGATAAAGAGGAAAAGGGCAGGCGGGGCGGGAGGGAGAAAGCAGGGGAAAAAAAAGTAGTGAATGAAACTTATTCTTCCTGCAGGGAGGAGGGCAGTGATGCAGTACAGACCTTGGGAGGCGAGTGCATGGTCCTGGCCTCCTCATCATTGCCTCTGCCAGTAAACGGGAAGAAGCAGATGACCAGCACTGCCCCCCCCCACCGCTGCAGCTTCACTTCAGGGTCGGCCCACTCTGAATTGTCCTGAAAGGACCACTGACTTTCCCCCCCACACACAATGAGAGTTTATTCACATCAGGCATTTCACAGTGATACATCAAGAAAAATAGGCAGGTCCAAGTCAACCATGAAATGGTCACTTTTTAACCCCATCCTGTCCTCATTAGGGAAATTCTCAAACACAGCCCATTTTCAAAAGAGGTCTCTTAATGAGGGGAGCTTGCCAAGTCTACCAGCTACAATTCCCATGCATTTACAAGCCAAAAGAACAGGGAGAGATGGGGGAAGGAGAAAGCCCATACAAGACAGGTAATGTCAAAGGAAACAGCAAGAGCCCAACACACATTAACCCTTACAAAATCCTGCATTACATACCCACGTTGCTGCACTTGCAGAGTTTGCTCAAACCCTAAGGATTTGAGCAACAGCAATGGTTTCTTTCTAAAGATCACATTAAGAAGTGCCAAGTTCAGAGCATACACTTAGCCAAGAAGGGATGAAGCAAGCTCAAGGCTAACCACAGCAAGCACATTTATTTTCATATCTGGTGTAGAATACCCTCCCCCAAAATCCTATCATCTTTTCCTTTTTGCAGACGCTACAAAGAGTTGATAACACCAGCTTTAAATACTGCAATTTTCATTTGAATAAACATTCACAGAATCACAGAATGGTTGAGGTTGGAAGGGACCTCTGGAGATCATCTAGTCCAACCTCCCCGCTCAAGCAGGGTCCTCTAGAGCATATTTCCCAGGATCACATCCAGGCGGGTTTTGAATATCTCCAGGGAAGGAGACTCCACCACCTCTCTGGGCAACCTGTTCCAGTCCTCAGTCACCCTCACAGGAAAGAAGTTTTTTCTCAGGTTTAGGTGGAACTGCCTGTGTTTCAGTTTATGCCCGTTGCCTCTCGTCCTGTTGCTGGGCACCGCGGAGAAGAGACTGGCCTCATCCTCTCGACACTCCCCCTTCAGATACTTGTACACACTGATGAGATCCCCCCCTCAGTCATCTCTTCTCCAGGCTGAACAGGCCCAGCTCTCTCAGCCTTTCTTCATAGGAGAGATGCTCCAGTCCCCTCATCATCTTGGTAGCCCTCCGCTGGACTCTCTCCAGGAGTGCCATGTCTCTCTTGTCCTGGGGAGCCCAGCACTGGACACAGGACTCCAGGTGAGGCCTCCCCAGGGCTGAGTAGAGGGGCAGGATCACCTCCCTCGACCTGCTGGCAACACTCTGCCTAATGCACCCCAGGATACCCTTGGCCTTCTTGGCCACAAGGGCACACTGCTGGCTCATGCTTAACTTGTTGTCCACCAGCACTCCCAGGTCCTTCTCGGCAG